CTTTCCCCCCCAACTCCCCTCCCCCCGAGATAATGTATCTTTATCATCGTCACCCCATCCCATCCCTACTCTCAAGTTACATGGTTGAGTTTTCACTTGATGCACATTAACTATGATGCCTATATTTGTTTAGCTTTCTCCCTCCATTTGTGTGCCTCCCTCTGATTGCTTCCTCCATTGAACATATGCATGTATTTTTTAAATGTTTGTATTTATTTCAGAGGAAAATTAAAGTCAATTTCACTTTTTTTGGGAGGGAGGTCAGTACTGGGGTTTAAACTCAAGTACTTTATTATTTGAAGCACACACCCAGTCCTTTTGCTTTTTTTGCTGGTCCTTGGGCTTGAACTCAGGGCCTGAGCACTGACCCTGAGTCTCTTTGTGCTCAAGGCTAACACTCTACCACTTGAGCCACCATGCCACTTCTGGCATTTTCTGAGTAATTTATTGGAGATGAGAGTCTCTCACAGACTTTTTCTGCCTAGCTGGCTTTGAATCATGATCCTCAGATCCCAGCCTCCTGAATAGCTAGGATGCTCAGACTAGGGCAATAGCAGTGGAGGTTATAATAAGTTGTCAGATGCTCAGTGAGCCACCAGCACCTGACTTCCTTTTGCTTTTAGTTAATTTTTTATATAGGATCTTACATTTATGACCAATCTAGTGTGGATCTTGATCTTCTTATTTAAGCTTTCTCCTTAGCTGGGATATCAGTAGTACATCACTACACCAAACCTTTTTTATTAGTTGAGAAGGGAGTCTTGAGAATTTTTGCCTGGCTGGCCTTGAACTTCAATTCTCCATCTCTATAAAAAGATTATAGATAAAGCCACCACTTTCAGTCAGTTTCACCTTCCTTTTTTCTTCCACTATTTTTATAATATCCTTGGAGTGCTTATTATATTCTGGGCATAGGAGACAGAGTAATAAAGAAAAATTTCTTTCTTTATATAGTATAAGTTCTAGTGGGAGAGAGTTATAATAAGGAATTAGTAACTGTAATAGTATATTTTATTAGTGCTAGGTACTGTAGGAAATATAAAGAAAAAAGATAAGGAATAGAAATATTAAAGCAGTTAGCAAAGACTTTATTGAGAAAGTGACATTTGAACAAAGACTTGATTAACTTAAAATGAGGATAAGCTATGTAGATCTTTCTACCTAAGCTTTTCAAGTGGAATGAATAGCCAGTATAGCACTTAGAGATGGGAGCATGCATAGAAGCTTGAGGTCATATAAAAGTGCTTTTCACTCAGTGTATTAGGAGCCATTGGAGCATTTTGAGCAAAGGAATATTGGTCTGAATGATGTGGCTGCTTTTAAAGAGTAGACTGTATGAGAAGGAAAAGTCAGAAGTTGAGAGACTAAGCCTATTGTGCATCCACTCAAGAGGAGAATGTAGCCTAGAGTCGGGTAATAGCAGTAGAGATTGTAATAAGTTTTCAGATGCTCAGTCTTTGTGGAGACAGAGGCAGCAGCATTTACTAATGAATTGTCAGTGGTATATGAAACAAGGCAAAGATTTAAGGATGACTGAAGTCTTTTGGCCTGAATAACTGAACAGTTGGAGTTATTACTTAGAGACAAAGGAAAGACTAGATAGAGTAGACTGCAGGGGCCAGAAGAATAATTCTAACTGGACATGTTACATTTAAGGTAACCACTAGATATCTAATTACAGATGTCCAAAAGCATTTGAATTTCAGAGATGAAGTTTAGACTGGGCATAAATTTGGGAGATGTAAACGGTGGATGATATTTATTAAACAGATTATATCCTGGTATACCGTTCAAACTCCTTTATTGATTTTTTAAAATTATTTTTTAATGGTTACTTCAGAGTTTACAATGTGAATCTTACTGTAGTACACTTCATATAAATACTAGTTTACTACTTTATATAAAACCTGTGTTTTCTGGTTCAACCCTCTGTAATATATGTTGCAGTTGTCACATACATTTATGTTAAACTATTGCTTTATATAAGATTATTTCTTTTAACAAGTTAAGGGGCAAATAAAAATGTCTTTATAGAGTCATATATTAACCTATATATTTATAGAGTCATATATTAACCTATATATTTACCATTTTGATTCTCTTCATTTTTTCAAATTTCTATTCCATGATTTGAGGGAGTTGCTCCCATATAATTCCATTCCTTCCTTCCTCCTTTGGAGTTTCATTGATAAATGTATGTTTAAAGACTGCATTTTTGTTTTCATTACAGAAGCATTTTTTAACCATCCTTTCCTTGAGCAAGTTCCAGTAAAAAAATGTGAGTAACTTTTTTTTCACTTTTTTACTTTGAATGAATGCAAGGTAAATGCAAAACTACATTTTATATCACAAGATTGATTTAGTGCTGTGTTTCTCAAAATAACATTGAACTTTCTGTAGATACCTATACTTATGTTTATTGAATAACATTTCTGATTTTCCCAACCATAAGAATTGAACTCAGGGCCTTGTACATGCTAGGCAAGTGTTCTACCACTTGAGACTTGAGCCACACAGCCCATCCTTTTTGTTTATTTTGTTTGTATTTTGTTTTTGAGATTGAATCTCAATAATTTTGCCTAGGCTGACCCAGTAGCTGGGATTATAGATGTGTAGCATCATGCCTGGCTAAGAGTTCTATTTTTTTCCTTCCATATCCATGTTGAAAAGTTTTAGTAAGCTGCTTGCTTTTTTTGTTTGGTTCCAGTACTGGGGCTTGAACTCAGTTGGCTTTTCCTTTATTGCTAGTACTACTACTTGAGCTTCCCATTCTGGCTTTTAGTTGGTTAATTGGAAATGGTCTTAGAGATTTGTCTGCCTGGGCTGGCTATGGACTATGATTCTCAGATCTCAGCCTCCTGAGTAGCTAAAATTATAGGTGTGAGCCACAAGCTCCTGGCAACTGTCACCTGTTTAGTTTCATATATGGAAGCTATAATAAGTAGATGAATACAAATATTTTTGGTTAACACAAAGATATAGTGGTTTTGACAAGTTGTCTATTTGGCAGGTCTTATAGTATACTATAGAATGATGTAGCTCTTTGACTGTGTTTCTTTCCCAGCCTGCCCAGTCCCAGTGCCCATGTATGCTGGCCCTGGCCCTGGAAACTCCTGTAGCAGCTCTCCATCTTGTCGCTTTGCCTCTCCACCAGTAAGTTCTAATGTTATTAAAAGTAATTTCAAAGTTAGTGTAATACACTAGTAAACAAATGAAGCTTGAAAATATGCTGTGAATAATTTTTATATATAGCATTTACTAATGCAGCTGAGCTTTAGGAGAAAAGAGTATTAGAATTGGGACAAATTGAGCTTGTCTTTGGACCTTTGCACTTACTTAAATTTGTAACAGCAAGAAATTTCACCTCTCCTATTACAGGTGGATAAACAATAAGTAATTATTTTACCTGGATGCTCTGAGTGTCATGATTATGTAGGATTTTTAGTAGTGGAGGATCCAGATTTTACCAGCTTTGATTCGTTTAATAAATAATTACTGGCCCTGGTCATTTCTGTTCAAACTTCTTTATTTTTTATTTTATTATTTTTAGTGGGTTGTGGGGCTTGAACTCTGGGCTTGGTTGCTGTCCCTGCGCTCTTCAGCCCTCTACTGCTTTAGCCACAGCACCACTTCCGGTTTTCTAGTGGTTTATAAGAGATAAGAGTCTCACAGACTTTCCTGCCCAGGTTGGCTTTGAACTGTGATCCTCAGATCTCAGCCTCCTGAGTAGCTAGGATCACAGGTGTGAGCCACCGGCACCCGGCTCCATTCAAACTTCTTATGTCTTCTGAAGTTCCCAAGCTATTTCTTTCACAGTTGTATTTCCTAAGTACTTTTTCCTCCTAAGGACTTGTTTTCTGTTTTTATTATTTTGTTTTGTTTATTAATTCAAGACCTTGTGCTCTGGTACTCTACCACTTGAGCAATGATTCTAGTCCAGCCCCGAGGCCTATTGATTATTCTGATCACTTTTGTCCCCCTATTCTACTCTCCCAGAGTTTTACCTAGCACTCCTCTGTATTTTATTAGGTTAACTCTTCCCCCAAATTACTATTGGAGCCTTGTAACCTTGAGGCTTTTTCATAGCTGAAGGTGCAAGGGCTTCTGTATTTTTATATTAGCCCAGCAGATGTGAATTTCTTGCATTCTGCTAGCAGAAAGGTGGTAGAGCCGTAAGAAAGAGGCAGTGTGTGATTTTCCAGTTGAAGCAACTTACATCCTTTCCTTGCCACATTAACTGGGATGAATGCCTTCATCTTTCCCAGGTTGTTTCCTCATACATGACTTAAAAAAAATAAACCATACTGGATTTGAGCTTATTGAGGAGAAATGCAGAGGATGTGGACTGACATAGAAAAGTTATATAAACTTCATCTGGAGCCAGCAGACTGACTCTGTGACTTAATTTCTGGTAACTGGGGGTGGGTTAGTCAGCTGAGCCAGAATGTCCTCATCTGGAAAAAGGTCTGGTAACCTTTGCTTTCAGGAATGTATAGGAAAGGGTCTAGTCATAGTAAAATGCTCAATGACTTGTGACACCAATCTGGTACATGATATAAAAAGCAAAGCTTAGAGTAGAGAAAAAGAACAACTGGAAGAATCTTAATTGTGGGACAGCAAAAATAAAGGAGTCTATGAAGTGGTAGAGTAACAAAGAATGAGAAAAAGACAGACTATAACAACAGTAACATTCAAAGGAGATTGAAACTAGGCACTGGTGGTTCACACCTGTAACCCTAGCTACTCAGGAGCCTGAGATCTGAGGAACATGGTTCAAAACTAGTCCAGGCAGGAAAGTCCATGAGACTCTTACCGCCATTTAACCACCAGAAGACCATAGCTGTGGCTTAAGGGGTAGAGTGCTTGCCTTGAGTGAAAAAGCTCATGAACAGTGCCCCAGCCCAGGGTTCAAGCCCCACACCTGACAAAAAATAAATAAATAAAATAATTGACTTTCAGAGTTAAAAATCTGTTGGAGTTTGGTTAAACAGAGATTATTGAAGGGCTAGAACAGAGCAGGAACTACACATGAACCTGTAATATAACATGCTCATATTTACATTCTCATGAAAATATCCAGCTACTGCTTTGTTTGGGGAAAATCTTTCAAAGGGAAAAAACAATTACAACAACAAAAACCCAACTTGCTCTTTTAGATATAATACTGGCTGTAGATTAAGTGCTAGTGCTATTTAAATGATAATTCTTGGTTATCTGTGTGTTCATTTTATAACATCTATTGAATGGTTGCTTATATAAAGTTGTAGTTTACCAGATCTCTGACATTAAGGGGCTTTTAATTTAGTTGTGTGGGCAATAGATAGGAAGTCAATCACCAATAAAAGTGTGTGTCTATGTGTCTGTTTTTATTGCCTATGGGATCATGGACAAGGAACATCAAAATCACACCAAATACTTAAAGTGGCTATTTAGAAGAAAGAATTCTTTGAGCCAAGTTATGAAAAAAGAGCAAAATGAATTAGTTTAAAAAAAAAAAAACTATTGCAAGCAGCCAGGTGCCGGTGGCTCACGCCTGTAATCCTACCTACTCAGGAGGCTGAGATCTGAGGATCTTGGTTCAAAGCCAGCCTGGGTAGGAAAGTCTGTGAGACTTTTCAATAAACCACTAGAAAACCGGAAGTGGCGCTGTGGCTCAAGCAGTAGAGTGCTCTCCTTAAGCTGAAAAGCACACCCAAGGGACAGCACCCGAGCCCAGAGTTCAAGCCCCACGACCAACAACAACAAAAAAAAGTATTGCAAGCAGAAGAATCTCCACACTTGAAGTTAAAGAAGTGTGACTGTGGCCAGTTACATTCAACTTTGTCTGAAAAGTGAAGTCTGAAGTAGTTATAGTAGTCATACCAGTGTGGTGGAATGTAACTGTAATGCCAGCACTAAGCAGGCTGAGGCAGGAGGATTATAGCTACCTACATCCCAGGAGTTCAAGAATAGTCTGGTAACATTGTGAAATCTTCATCACATACCAGCCACATATCAAGTGATCAGTAGCCATAAATCATGGCTGCCATCTTAAATAGCTTGACCATCATTCAGGAAGCACAACGCCACTTCAAGAAGTTCAGTCTGTGGGTATAAATGTATTGGTAATGTGGTTAGGAGAAAATAAGGCAGAGAGAACAGCTGCAACTTGCCAAGAATTATATAGTGGGCAAAGGAGTTTAAAGCTGAAGTGAATCATTTGAATGATTTTAAATGGAGAAGTTTAGCTAGAATTTTCCAAAACATGATACAGGAGTAGGTTCAAAAAAGATATAGAGGTGAGAGGTCTCTACTCGGGGTACTCTTTCTTTTATACATGAAACTGTGAGGGCTCTTATAATTATCATCATCATTATAATTTTGAGAATGAGGGCCTGAACTTAAGGCATGGTAGAAAAAGAGATGAGGAAGGGGCTAGCCAGCAGTGTAAAGCGTTTGAAGATACTGAAGATTGTTTAAATTTGGGACTTAAGGAGAAAGGAACATGGGAGCAATGCTTTGGAATATGCATATGGAGTTGTATTGTCTAGGTCAGTGAACGCTGGTGTCTAGGACTCATCAGAGAAAAATCTATGCAGGAGAGAATAATGTTTTCCTATAAATTAATAGTTGAAGGTGGAGTAGAGAGCAGTCACTAGAGTAAATATACCAGGTGAGAAGTTAGAGGACTCAGGATGGCTCCATCTTTGTTCCAGTACTTAGGCTTGAACTCAGGGCCTGATGTTCTTCCTTAGCTCTTTTATGCAACGCTTGTGCTATACCACTTGAGTCACACCTCCACTTCCAGCTTTTTGCTGGTTAATTGGAGATAAAGTCTCTCATATTTGTCTGCCTGGACTTGTTTCAATCTTGATCCTCAGATCTCAGCCTCCTGAGTAATTAGGATTACAGACGTGAGGCCCAGGTGCCCAGCATCTTTTACTTTTTCTAAGAGGCAAATGAGAGCATGTAGCTTAAGTGGTGGAGTGCCTGCTTAGGAAGCACAAAGCCCTAAGTCCAAACAACAAAAAGGTAGGTGAGAAGAGAAAAATATACCTACAAAAGATAATAAGGATATTAATGATAAGAACTCACTTTCTCAAAAGCTTCAGGGGAGGTATTCACTTAGATGTAATAAGTGGTATGATTTAGAAGCATTTATGCAAACATTTTATGCAAACTGTTTTCCTAAAAGAAAAATTTTCCCAAGAGATTTCTTTTTGAAATCTTAGATTGAACTTTATGCCCACTTTTATGAAAAAAATTCCTTTGTGGTTGGCTATTCTGACTTGCATTTGATTATGAGGTCAGTTTTAATTTTTTGTTGTCAATTTTAGTCCCTTCCAGATATGCAACATATTCAGGAAGAAAATTTATCCTCCCCACCATTGGGTCCTCCCAACTATCTACAAGTATCCAAAGATTCTGCCAGTACTAGTAGCAAGAACTCTTCTTGTGACACGGATGACTTTGTTTTGGTTCCACACAACATCTCTTCAGACCACTCATGTGAGAATTTTTTTCTACTTGTACACATTATATTTCTTAAATTACCAAATTAGCATTTTGAAAGCCTTTATATCACACCTGCATAGAGCACTTTTTCAAATGAGTATTTTAATTGTTTGAATTCTCAGAAATTCTTGCTTTCTGCTCAGTGATCTTCCATAAGACAATAGTTTTGTATTCTCAAGATGCATAAAAACTTTATAAGAAATTATCACAAATTATATTTACATTTGAATAGAAGATACAGAGAAGCAAGCAGACTGAGTAAAATTTAAAAAAACACAGTCAAGGAAGAACTGGTGTCAAAAAACCTAAGAGGAACTAGGCACCAATGTCTTATGCCTGTAATCCTAGCTACTCAGGAGGCGGGGATCTGAGGATTGTGGTTCAAAGCTAGTCGGGGCAGGGAGTCCATGAAACTTATCTCCAATAAACTAATCAGAAAAAGCCAGAAGTGGTACTATGGCTCAAGTGGTAGAGAGCTATCCTTAAGCACAAAGAGCTTAGGGACAGTGCCCAGGCCCTGAGTTCAAGCCCCAGGACCAAAAAAGGAAAAAAAAAAGTAGTAGTTTCTGGGCATCAGTGATTCATGCCTATAATCCTAGCTACTCAGGAGGCTGAGATCTAAGAATCACAGTTCAGAGCTAGCCTGTGAAGGAAACTTTGTAAGACTCTTATCTCCAATTAACTACCAAAAAAAAGCAAGAAATGGAGCTGTGGATCAAGTGGTAGAGTTCTACAAGCCTTGAGCACAAAAGCTTAGGGACAGTGCCCAAGCCCTGAGTTCAAGCCTCAGGACCAGTGCGCACGTGCGTGTGCACGAGCGCACGCGCACACACACACACACACACTGTGCACGAGCGCACACACACACACACACACACACACACTGTGTACGAGCGCGCACACACACACATACACACACCCTAAAAGTCAGAGGGTCAAAGGGGTCTTTGTTGTGTGTCCTTTAGAACACACTATACATATGCGTATATATACATATACATATATGTACACACACTCGTGTGTCTTCTAGTCTGGCCTTAAATCCATGATTTTCTTGCCTCTGCCTCTCTAGTGCTGGGATTACAGATATGGACTATTACACCCATTAACAGAGGAATCCTAAAAACAATCTGGCTCTCATTTAGGAAATATATTCAGGAAAAAAGTTCAGGAATGAACTCTATAAATATGTAGGAAGAATTTTTGTAGGTTAGGTGGGTGGTTCATGCTTCTTAGGAGATGGAATTTGGGAAGACTGGATTTAAGGCCAGCCTAGGCAAAAAGTTATTAAGACCTCATCTCAATCAAAAAGCCAGACATGATAGGCAAACTGTGGTCCCAGCCACATAGGAGACATAAATGAGAGAATTTCAGGTCTGATTATGGGCAAAAATGAAAGACCCAGATAAATAGTAAATGTAAAAAGGGCTTTGGACATGGTTTAAATGGTGGAGCACCTATTTAGCAAACAAAGAACCCTGAGTGTAAACTCAGTTAGTTTCAAGTCCAAAAAGAAATTTTTATAAAGAAACTAGAATCCAGGTTAATTAAATACATTTCTTTGGAATAGTAAGGGGCAACAGAAGACCCATAGATGAGATACAAAATTGTTATCTGGGTGTTATGGCTCATGTTGAGATCTGAGTATTGCAGTTCAAAGCCAGCCCAAACAAACACTCATCTCCAGTTAACCAGCAAAAAGCCAGAAGTGGAGGTGTGGCTTCAGTGGTAAAGTGTCAGAAAATAAGATTATAAAGCTCTCTGAGTTTAAGCCCCAGTACTGGCACCAAAAAAAAAAAAAAAAAACAGAAGAAACAAACTATGATTTGAACATGGTAGAATTGGGATCAGAGAAGCTGGATCACTTTAGTAGTAATTGAGTACTATTAAGTACTGACTACAGGACAATTTTTGCATCAGGAGATCTATAGTTTGCTAAATATACTTTGGTGCTTCTGCCAGGTGCTATGCTTATACTTGTTAGAATCCCCAGCCTGAACAAAACTAAGAGTTACCTTCAAAAATCATCCAGTACAGTGGTTTTCTTTCTTCATAAAAATTAATTCATATGGGTGCCAGGGGCTCATGCTTGTAATCCTAGCTACTCAGGAGGCTGAGATCTGAGGATCACACTTCAAAGCCAGCTCAAACAGCAACGTCTATAAGCCTCGTAATTCCAATTAACTACAAAAAAAAAAAAAAAAAAAAGCTCAAAGTGCAGCTGTGGCTTAAGTGGTAGAGCACTAGCCTTGAGCAAAAAATCTCAGGCCTTGAATTTAAGCCACAGACCTGGCACTAAAAACAAAATTCAAGCATTTAAATTATTAACTAATTCAAAAATAATACAGTATGCTAAGAGTAACCACCTTGCTATGTTGTTTTTATACTTGTTAACATTTAGCCATATTTACTTTTTGGGTTTTTTTTTTTTTGCCAGTCCTGGGGCTTGAACTCAGGGCCTGGGCACTGTCCCTGACCTTCTTTTGCTAAAGGCTAGCACTCTACCACTTGAGCCACAGCACCACTTCCAGCTTTTCCTGTGTATGTGGTACTGAGGAATCGAACTCAGGGCTTCATGCATGCTAGGCAAGCACTCTACCATTGAGCTACATCCCAGCCCGCCATATTTGTTTAAATAGCTTTTTTAAAGATATAACAATGCCAGAGGTTTCTTAGCTCTTTTATCTATCCAACATGTATCTATATTCATACATAACGTAGTATTTTTATCTTTTCACAGTTGTAAGTAAATAGTAATGTACAATGTTTATTTCTGTAGCTGGTTCTTTGCTTTTTGTTACCTTTTTATTTGTATTTGTATATATTTGGCTGCATATCTAGTAATATGACTAGTTAATTTAACATTTCAATTTTATAATTAAAAACTAAAGTCCAGTTTTTCCCATTTGCCTACTAATTTCAGGGTTTGCTTGTCTGTTTATTTTAGTGGTACTGGTATTTGAACTCGGGACCTTATGCTTCTTAGGCAGGGGCTTAGGTGCTGTACCATTTGAGCCACTTCTTACTGATTTATACTGGATTATACTGCCTTTTTTTCTGGTGTGTGTAGGTGTGGATGTGGGTACACACGCATGCACATTCCAGTCCTGGTGCTTGAACTTGTGCCATGGCTCCACTTCCAGCTTTTTGGTACTTAATTAGAGATAGGAATCTCATGGGTTTTCTTCTCCAGGCTGGCTTCAAACCATAATCCTCAGAAGTGGAGGTATGGCTTCAGTGGTAAAGTGTCAAAAAATAAGATTATAAAGCTCTCTGAGTTTAAGCCCCAGTACTGGCACCAAAAAAAAAAAAAAAAAAACCAGAAGAAACAAACTATGATTTGAACATGGTAGAATTGGGATCACAGAAGCTGGATCACTTTAGTAGTAATTGAGTACTATTAAGTACTGACTACAGGACAATTTTTGCATCAGGAGATCTATAGTTTGCCAAATATACTTTGCCAAATATACTAAGTTTTTTAAGCAGCTAGGATTACAGGCAATAGCTACCAGCACCCAGCTATTTCTGCCTTTTAAACACAGTTAAAATATATTGTAATAGGCATCCTTGTGTATGTGTATTAGAATCTCTTCTAAGTGAATACCTTAAAGAAGTATGGCTTCACCTCTATAAAAGCTAGTCAAGGGCTGGGAAGGTGGCTCAGTAGTAGAGGGCTTGCCTTGCATGCCTGAGGTCCTGGGTTCGATTCCTCAGCACCACATAAGCAAAAAGAAAAAAGCCGGAAGTGGCGCTGTGGCCCCAGTGGTAGAGCACTATCCTTGAGCTGAAGAGCTGAGGGACAGCGCCCAGGCCCAGAGTTCAGGCCCCACGACTGGACCCAAAAAAAAAAAAATTAATTAAAAAAAAAAAAAGCTAGTCAAGTGGCACTCATCTATAATCATAGGGGGAGGGTCAAGTTCAAGGCCAGCCCCAGCCAAAAGCTTCAAAGATCCCTCCTCAACAAATTAAAAAAGCTGAGCATGACAGGTGGAATATATCTTTTATTCCAGCTACATGGGAAGCATAAATGGGAATATCATGGTTCCGAGAGGCCAAGACACAACTGCAAGACCCTATTTGGAAACTAGTGCAAAAAGGAGCTAGGCAATGGTGGCACATGTCTGTAATCCTAGCTACCTTGAGGCTGAGACTTTCAGGATTGTAGTTTCAAGACCACCTGAGCAGAAAAGCCACCTATCTCCAATCAATCAGCAAAAAAGGCTGACTAGGAGCAGTGACTCAAGTGATTAAGCACCAGTCATGTACAAAAAGCAGAATGAGAGGGCAAGGCCCTGAATTCAAGCCCTTGTACTGGCACGCAAGGAAAGAAAAGAAATGGAAGGAAGAAGGAAGGAAGGGGGAAGGGAAGGAGAGAGAGAGAGAGAGAAGGAAAAAAAGAGAGAAAGAAGAGAGAGGAGAGAAAGAGAAAGAGGAAGGGAGGAAGAGAGAGAAAGGTAAAGGGAAAACTGCAAAAAGGGTTAAGTATATAGCTGAAGTGGTATGCATCTGTAAGTCCCAGAGTTTCACACACCCCCAGCACTGCCGGAGAGTTGTACCAATAGTCTTTTTCATATTGTCCCCAGTGATATAATGTTTTATATTTACTTCTTAAGATTTTTTTTCAGTTAACTTTCCTTGGAAGTTTTTTGAGGTTTTTTTTTTTTATTTTGGGATTGAACCAAGTACCTTGACTTTGCTCATGCTAGGCAACCGTGCTGTCACTTGAACTATGCCTCTACCTCTTTTGTTTTCTTGTTTGATTTTATTTTAGTACTACTCAACTTTTAACTCAGGTCCTTGCACTTACTAGGTAGGTACTCTACCATTTAAACCATACCTTCACCCTAACCCTTTTAGATTTTTAGTTTGGAGATGTTCTTTGTAGTAGTATGGGGGCTTTTTTTTTTTCTTTTGTCAAATGCTGGTTTCCAAATGACATTTTTCACCTCCTGCATAGCCTGACTATATGCTTGTTCTCTTTCCTTTTTCCT